TATACTTGTCGAAATAGTATAAAATAAGTCCCGAAGGTCAGCAAGGCCGAGAAGTAGGTGTAAAAGAGTGAGGAGCGCTGCTGGTAGTACGGCCGCTCGAACGCTTTAAAAACTTTAAACTGATTTTTCTCCGAACCACGTTTTCTCGCATGGATGACACTCTCATTTCAAAACTATGGCACTTATCGATTTGAACCAAACGGCATTTTACTCTTAATATGTCTGGCTATGGCCGGTACCAGAATCAGAAATATTCATTATTTTTTAAAAAAGTTATAAACAATTATAAGTGAAAAAAAGGGTTAAAAAAATTCAAAAGTCCGCCATTTTTTTATTTTTCATGGAAAATTTTTCATTCTGGTATCGGCCATAGCTACTTCGATGCAGAACACGAAACTATTTTGGTTTTTGCATTCAGATAATTATTTTTCAAGTAATCGTGTCATCCATCTACGAATCGGACGAGTTTCAGCAGCCATTTTCAGGACCGCCATTTTGAAAAAAAAAATTAAAAAATTTTTTTAGTAATTTCATATATATACTTTCATATATAAAAAAAATTGAATACTCAACATTTTTTGTTATGAAAATAAAATTAATTGAAAAAAGTACGTTTTTCAGAGGAACCTGGCCTTAAAGTTAAGAGAATAATCAATAAATAAAACCAAAGTAATAAAAAAATAAGAAATTAAGCTAGCTTCGGCAAGCCGAAGCTTATATAACGTTGCAGTAATCAAATATAATATGTCGAACCAAATACATAGGGGCTAAACAACATGGAAGCTATGTTGATTTCTATATGAAGTTTCTGTATTTTCGACGATTGTTCATATGAAAGCTATATCAGATACTCGTCCGATTTTTATGAAATTTAATTCGAAATTTAAGAGTCATTAGAAAACCCTATATTTAAAGAATAGGGCGGTCGGTGGAGCAGCCGGTAGACCGGTATCTTATCACCAGTTCGAACGAAAAACACCAAAGATTACTGTATCCACTACAGGTTATAGAGGTCCTTTTCTGCCAGGTGGAATGATAAAGAACATTATTTTTTTTTTTTAAGACTACAAAGGTATAAAAGCTTTGGCTTGCACTTTTTATACCCTTGCAGAGCAAAATTGACCACATTTGTACAAGCAGAAAATGGAGGAAGTCTCTACTGGATGTAAGGGACAAGAGGGGAGCATCGATAGACAGCGACTACGAGCTGATCATTGGGGAGCTCTCAATGCTGACGACTCAAGGAACCAACGCCCGTCCCCCCTCAACCTACACCTACATGGCAAAACGGACATCAGCGCCAGGATTGCATCAACATTACGCACCCACCTACTACCGCAGCAAGGCCTGACATGGGAACAGACGTGCGATTCACTAAGGACCACCGCAGAAGGCATCATTGGCACTCAACAACGAAGAAGAAACAACTGGATCTCTAGCGCAATGTGGGACACGATCAACAAAAGGAACTCACTGAAATTACTGGCTGACCATGACAGCAATAGACGCGACGAACACCGCGTACTATGCAAAGCGGTCAAGAGAGCCCTACTGGATAGACTGGCAGATAAGGCAGAACGCGCAGCAAATGAGAACAACATGCGATCACTATACCAGACAATTGAACAAATCTCAGGATTATATAGAAGAAAGAACCAACCAGTCAAAGATGCCAACGGAATACTTCTCACTAGCGACGACGACCAAATCCACAGATGGCGCCAATACTTCATGGAAATCAGCAACTCCGACATGCCTAGCAGGAGCGATGACTACAGAAGTGTTGTGCCAGCAAATGGGAACCGGAGAATATTATCCGTCCCACTCACCGTGAGAGAAATCGGAAACGCAATAAAGAAGCTCAAGAACAACAAAGCTGCCGGGATGGATGGCATTCCAGCCGAAATCCTCCAAGTTGACACTCAACTGATGGCAGAAATAACTTCAGACCACACAGGAGCTGCGTAGACCAAGCCAACACCCTACGCATCATAGCCGAACAAGCTGTGGAATGGAGAGCACCACTGTACCTCCTGTTCATCGATTTCAAGAAGGCGTTCGATTCAATAAATAGAGCAGCAATATGGGGAGCGCTTGCAAGGAAAGGAGTACGGAGTCAAGCAAGGATGCCCATTATCCCCACTGCTCTTCAACATTGTGGTGGACGAGGTCATGAGAGAAGTGTGCAAACACAAACGTGGAATCACATGGAGCTTCACCAAACTTGAAGACTTAGACTACGCAGACGACATCTGTCTAATCTCTCACAAACTGAGTGATATTCAACCCAAAGTTGATGACCTCGTGAACCTAGCCAGCCGTGTGGGTCTACAAATTAACACGGCGAAGACAAAAGCGATGCGCCTCAATCACGCCAGCCAAGGAAATATCATCGTAGGAGGAAACCCAATAGAATAGGTACGTCGAGAGTTTCCCATACCTTGGCACCGTAATCTCCAACAACGGTGGCGTGACACAAGATGTGACGAGTAGGCTAGCTAAAGCCAGGTCTGCCTTCGGGAGACTCTACCGCATATGGATAAGCCGTCAAATAAGCAGAAAGACAAAGATACGGATCTTCAACTCATGCGTAAAATCCGTCATACTATATGGAAGCGAGACGTGGCTCACAACAAAGACAATAATCCAGCAATCGCAGGCATTCACCAACAAGTGTCTCAGAATAATATGCGGGATTTTCTGGACAAACAGAATCTCTAACATAGACCTCTGGAATATGATGGGTGAAAGTGCAACAAGACTCCAAATCAGGAAGAAAAAATGGAGATGGATAGGCCACGCACTGCGAAAGGACCAGGAAAGCATAGTTAGGAGGGCACTAGAGTGGAGCCCACAGGGAAGCAGACGTGTAGGCAGGCCTAAAACAACATGGAGAAGAACCGCCCTTCAAAAACTGTCCCAATACAACATCACATGGGATGCCAGCGAAACAGACAGCAAGAAATAGAGTAACATGGAGGAATCTAGTCGAGGCCCTATGCTCCCAGGAGGAGTTATAAAGGAATTTAAAAAAAAAACCGTAAACCAAAAATTTTAAATGGAACCCAACCAGTTATGAATAAATAAAAATGCCAATGAAAAAATTCGAATTTAACTTTGTCGTTGCATGACGGCACAAGTCCATTTTAAAAATTTGGTTGTTATTTTTATACCCTTGCAGAGCAAAGGGTATTATAATTTCAGTCAGAAGTTTGCCATGCAGTGAAGGAGACACCTCAGACCCCATAAAGTATATATATTCTTGATCAGCATCACAATCTGAATCGAAATATGTATGTACGTCTGTCCGTCGGTCCGTCTGTCTGTTTCTATGTAAACTAGTCTCTCATCTTTGAAGCTATCCTGCTGAAACTTTCCCAAAGTTGTTAAGTTATTACACGCAGTATATAAGTCGGAACGGGCCGGATCGGCCGACGATATCGGATAGCTCCCATACGAGAGATTGAAAAAAAATCTCACTCCGTTGTTTTTGATCAGGTCGACTTGATTTCTTCCAGATGGATCCAGATACTTTTGAATTTCGGATTCAATTTAATCAAAATCGGATAACTCTATCATATTGCTCCCACAGGAAAGATCTAAAAAAACATATATAAATAATGGAAAAAAATTATAACGTTGTTGTTTTAGTCCCATGAGCATGATTTTCTAAATATGGTTTTTTAATAACCCTGGAATCGAGAAAAAATCTTGATTAAAATCCGATAATGTTATCATATAGCTGCCATAGGAAAGACCGAAAAATATATATGGAAATAACGGAAATTAAAATTATAACATCGTTGTTTTTTATCAGGCAAGCATGATTTTTGGAATATAGAGAGAATTTTATCAAAATCGGATAACCATGTCATATAGCTGCCATATAAACAATAGTCAAAAATATGGAAAATTAATAGAAAAATCGTCATATCGAAGCTATGTTTAGCCTTTATGTATTTTATTCAATAAATTATGACTGCAAGGGTATATAAGCTTCGGCTTGCCGAAGCTAGCTTCATTTATTGTTGCTACTGACATTGTGCCTAAAAAGTACCATAGCTTTAAGACTAGCAGGTCATATCAGTTCATATTACACATTTTGCACGCCACTGATTCACACTTTCGGTTAATAAGAGAGTTAGACTGAATCCACTTGAATCCGGTAAGTTCGACTCCACGAAAGACAAGCTTTTAATAAATTCAATAAAAATTGTAAATTTCTGAGGAACTCGAAGTCAATGCGCGAAAAAAAAAATGTTAATCTCTTTGCAAAATCATATGGTGTGTTTGTCCGTTCACAACTGATGATTAGCTGATGGTTGAGCTATTTAAAAGCTTGGATAAATCTAATCAAAGCATCTGTTATCGACTTGTGAAAAAATATCATGGCTTTTTAAAATTGAAAATTTAAATTAAAGCCGCTAGCGAGACCAAATCGTCCACTGTGCGGCGCACCGAATCGGCAGCGTCCTTACTAGTGATCGAGGGAAGGCGACAGTATGACGTCGCTCAGAACTACCTTCGGAGTATTATTAATTGAGCACGGGCTGTTCATTGAAGTGATAAATGAAACTAACTTACAAGCCAAGAGCACATAAGCATTGTCAGCGAGTCGACTGCGCACCCACGGAAGATGCTGACCATGCAAAAGCAAGAACCACGCCACTGCTTGTGCAGAATGGTTTTGAGTGCAGCTATTTAAGTGGTATATGCTGTGTCATGCCCTGTGTTTATGCCCTAAAACAAAGTTTTTAGCTTAACACTAGAGTGGCACGAAAATCACCAGCGAAATGATAAGACTAATTGTTACTCCTTAATTTATATATTATATATACATATATATATCATTCTTTATGGGGTATTTGAGGTGTCTCCTTCCTGCGGTGGAAACCTATAACTTAAACTATCATACTCTGCAAGGCTAAAAAAATTCTAATTTGTTAAATTCTGAATATAACTCTCAAATTAATTCCTACAATGTATTATTTTTGTTTCAGATTTTAAAGTTTTATATAAGCCTGCGTCTAGAAACTTACAGCCGTAACAAATTATTAAATGTAAATGCATAATGAGTAAGTTTAATTTATTTTACTATGCGATTATTTTATATACAATGAATACAATATATAAAAATGAATATTAAAATATTAATAATTTTGATGTTTTAATTATCAGCACACGCACAAAAGCATAAGTGTCATGATTTGCACCTTAAAATATTAAAAACAAGAAAGGAAGCTAGTTTCGACGAAGCTTATATACCCTTGCAGTCATAAAATACTCTATGTCGAACAAAATACATTAAGGCTAAACAACATCAAAGCTATGACGATTTTTCTATTAACTTTCAATTTTCGACTATTGTTTATATGGCAGCCATATGATATGGTTATCCGATTTTGATAAAATTTAATTCGTATTTCAAGAAATGTAAGAAACCTATACGTTCCAAAAATCATGCTTGTCTGATTAAAAACAACAATGCTATGATTTTATTTCGGTTATTTTTTTTATAGATTTTTCCTATGGCAGCTATATGATAACGTTGTCGGATTTAAATGAAATTTTTTTCTATATTCAAGGGTTATTAAAAAACTCCATATTTTAAAAATCATGCTCGTGGGATTAAAAACAACGATGTTATAATTTTTTTCCATTATTTATATGTATATTTTTCGATCTTTCCTATGGCAGCTATATTAAGAGTTATCCGATTTTGATAAAATTTAAGGCAGGTTCTCACCATGTAGGGCCGAAAAAGTGACATTTAAAAAAAAAATTTTTTTGAGAAAACGGTTTAAGATAAAAATCTGAAATTTATAACTTTAATTGAAAACATATTTATTTTGCGAAAAAAATTTCAAAATTGAAAAATCAAAAAAGGGGCGGGAAGGGGCGTTCCTCAGTGCCAATATATCGGCAAAAAGGTGCCCCGTTTACGGAAGTGATTCAGCCAAAACGGGTAATCGGAAACTGAAAAACCGAAAAGATTCTTAAAGTGTATAGTACTGTACATAAAATGAACTAGGGTAAGAAAAAAACAATGAAAATTGCAAAAGTTATTAGCTTTTGAAAAAAAATGTTGATTTTCTCGCTTTTTTTCTCACTAATTATTTTTTCAATTAAACAGTTTTCAATATTTTTGGATAATCCTAGTTCATGAGTTAAAGGAAACAATTAGGAACATTTAAAAAAAATTTGATGACGATTGGTTAACTCCAACGCCTTCAATTACTTCCGTAAGGTTCCGAGATAAACGCGTTTAAAGTTTTGGCTTCCAATGGCCGGTGCTCGACATGTGCTCCATGTAAGGGCATGTAACTTTTGTAATATTTCAAATTTAGGTCATTTTCGGAATATATATCTATACGATAAGCCAAAAAAAAAAAAAAAATTAATTTTTTTTTTTGCCACAAGGTGAGAACCTGCCTTAATCCGAAATTCAATAGCAGTTAGAAAACGCCATCTCAAAGAAATTAAGTCAATCTGATCAAAAACAACGGCGTGAGAATTTTTTATTTCATTCTCTCGTATGGGAGCTATCCGATATAGTCGGCCGATCCGGCCCGTTCCGAATTATATACTGCGTGCAATAACTTCACAACTTTTGGGAAAGTTTCAGCAGGATAGCTTCAAAACTGAGAGACTAGTCTACATAGAAACAGACAGACGGACTCTGATTGTGATGCTGATCAAGAATATATATACTTTATGGGGTCTGAGGTGACTGCTTCACTGCGGTGCAAACTTCTGACTGAAATTATAATTTCCTTTTGCTCTGCCAGGGGTATCTGGACGTAAGGCTCCCAGCTCTGGGGGAACGCTAGCAAAACTAACATAGACATCATACATCGCGCTCAAGCAAAGATCCTGAGAGCTATCACATCACGTCATACAAGGAAAAACTCTCAGCCCACCCAAATCCTCTCGCAAGGGATCTGACTCGGGTTTCCAGAAGAACCCGCCTACAACGTAACAACCTTTCAACCCAGCCATAATTTGTCAGGGCCATTTTTACTGTTCTAATCTTTATGACTGTTAGTCTCGTAAGGAGAAGATTCAATAAACAAAGCAAAGAATTTTATAAAAAAAAAAATTAGAAAAGAAATAAATATATAGAGTATGATACATACATATGAATATTGTTTTTCATATGAATTTTTGGATGACACTTTTAGAAGTGCATTGGTGATTTTATTTTAGTCTGGTCTATGCATATGTTTATAATTCCCACGACTGTACCTATTTTATTATTTATTTATTTAATTAACAAAATTAAATCTAGTATATAATACTAAATCTAATGGGTTTCTTAAAAGAGTACTAGCTGCTATGCCCTACGACTCGAGACTTAGTTAATTATTTACAATACTTAAATATTTAGGTTGGATTTGATTGCAAATGTGTAAAGGTTTGTTATGTTTTCTTGAGAAACTACATTTAAACTGTCGGATGGCTTATGTTGTTTGAAAATGTGAGCCCTGACGCTCTCTAGAAGACGGCATGAATTAAGAAGATGGTCTATTTCAAGGCGTTCGCCACAAAGGCAAGAGGGACGTGGTGTTCCTGTGAGCACATGTTCGTGTGTTGCACGAGTGTGTCCGATGCGAAGGCGAATGAAAGGTGAGCATGCCCGCTTTCCAAGGTAGGCAGGCAGAGAAATTTTTGTAAATGTATTGTTGATGGAAAAATATCGGTGATCATAAAGTTCCCATTCTCCAATTTGTCCTTAAGGTGATGACGGATTAGATGACTTAAGGCAGTGGTCTGCTTTAGGAGCCGAAAAAGAAGCGTTTTTTGAACAATTTTTTTGAAAGGGAAGGAAATGATTGCGGTAGACGAAATTTTGAGATGATAATATATTTTATTTAAACTTTAAAAAACAATTTTTATTATTGCAAATAATTGAAATTAGCGGAAGTTGTAACGATTTTTCTGGGGCGCCTGGAGTGTGCACTTGTAAATCGGTGCCGGTGATGGAGTTCGTGCGATGCATCTGAAACAGTGGAACCAAATTTTTTTTTTAGTTTTTATAAGTTCCTTTTTATATGAACTTAAAAAATACCGAAGAAATGACAAAATTCCAATTTTTTTCTAAGTTTGAAAAATATACATACAGTATAATCCGCTTATAGCGACTTTCAAGGGACCGACGATTTTTCGTCGTTATACCCGGAAGACGCACTAAGCACAAGGATTTAAGTGTAAAAGTCTGTCTGGGGACCAATCAAGCCATCGAGTTTTCGTCGCAATACCCGGACGGACACTATAAGAGGTGTCGTTATAACAGGATTCTACTGTATTCACTTTTTTGGAAAAAAAAGTGAACTTTAAGTTGCAAAACAAGTAATTTAAATAATACTTTTATCCATTTTTATACCCTTGCAGAGCAAAGGGTATTATAATTTCAGTCAGAATTTTGCAACACAGTAAAGGAGACACTTCAGATCCCATAAAGTATATATATTCTTGATCAGCATCACCATCTGAATCGAAATATGTATGTACGTCTGTCCATCGGTCTGTCTGTCCGTCTGTCCTCCTGTCGATTTATATGTAAACTAGTCTCTCAGTTTTAAAGCTATCGTGTTGAAACTTTTCCAAAAGTTGTGTAGTTATTGCGCGCAGTGTATAAGTCGGAACGGGCCGGATCGGGCGACTATATAGGATAGCTCCCATATGAGAGATTGAAAAAAAAAATCTCACTCCGTTGTTTTTGATCAGGTCCCGAAGCTAGCTCCCTTTCTTGTTTTTTGTTTTTATTATTTACACCTTTTTATACCCTTGCAGAGCAAAGGGTATTATAATTTTGGCCAGAAGTTTGCAACGCAGTGAAGGAGACACCTTAGACCCCATAAAGTATATATATTCTTGATCAGCATCACCATCTGAATCAAAATACGCCTGTACGTCTGTCCGTCTGTCCGTCTGTCCGTCTGTCTGTCTGTCTGTCGGTCTGTCCGTCTGTCCTCCTGTCCGTTTCTACGCAAAGTAGTCTCTCAGTTTTGAAGCTATCTCGCTGAAACTTTCCCAAAAGTTGTGTAGTTGTTGCACGCAGTATATAAGTCGGAACGGGCTGGATCTAGCGTATATATAGGATAGCTCCCATACAAGAGATTGAAATACAAAATTCTAACGCCGTTGTTTTTGATCAGGTCAACTAGATTTCTTCCAGATGGCGTTTTATAACTACTATTGAATTTCGGTTTAAATTTTATCGAAATCGGATAACTCTATCATATAGCTGCCATAGGAAAGATCGAAAAATCTATATAGAATTAACGGAAATAAAATGATAACATCGTTATTTCTCATCCGAAAATCATGATTTTTGGAATATAGAGTTTTCTTTGGGTTTGAGTATTTGGAATATAGAGTTTTCTAACGACTCTTGAATAACAAATAAATTTTCATCAAAATCGGAAGACTATAGTCAAAAATATGGTAAACTAATGGAAAAGTCGTCCTAGCTTCGATATTGTTTAGCCTTTGTGTACTCTGTTCGAAATATTTGATGACTGCAAGGGTATATAAGCATTGGCTTGCCGAAGCTAGCTTCCTTTCTTGTTCGAGCTGAATTAGGTCACCCAGGAGCTTGAATTGATGATGACCAAATTTATAATGTAATTGTTACTGCTCATGCTATTTTTTTTTTTTTTTGCTTTTGGTCTATACCAGCGACAGGCTGCTGACTGCAAAGTGGAGCTGGTGTTTAAAGATTAAGACGACAGCCATTGAATATTTATTGGTTTTTACTTTGCATATAATCTGTGGGCTGGCATTGATTTGCTTGCAGGAGGGCAACATTTAAATGTGGAACCTGTCAAGCTGTTGACTCTGCGGTTTTAATTTGTCAGAGTGCGCTAATACGAAATTTATTTGCCCGGCTAACCAGGACAGGCTGTCAAGATACTTGTCCAGTTTGCGGCCAAGACAAATGGCGTCTGCTATTGAAATATTAAAAATTTCTTTTTGTCCTAGTCCGTGCGGTAAATCGCTAATTTCTGCTGTTTTTTAGGGATGCATGCGCAAGTAAAATTACCAAACCGTAACCCGTGCGTAATCGGTTTTA